AATAATACTATTAATTACATTTTCTATTCATTAATATAAAACTGCATATCTATACGACTGTTTGAAAAAAAAAGATGTGTTAGTTTTGAAGTTTAGTTTGCTATACTATTATACATATTCCCTCGACTGTAGGGAGGGTCATATGAAAAAAAATTGTTTGTTTGTGTCTGACTTTGTGCCAAGGTCAAAAAAACATCAAAAATGAATCTTTTGTATAAAGGTTGACGAAAGTAAATCGGGATCGGAGAATCCGAATCTGAAGTCGGTTTCTCGAAATTTTGAATTGAATTTTTTGGGTTCAGGAGAAAAGTTTTTTTTGAGAAAATAATTTTTTCTCGAGTGTAGGAAGAGTTATATGAAATAAAATAAATTTTTGTCTGTTTTTGTCAGAGTGAAAGGCGAAACGTCATAAAAAACGTTGGCTAAGTGTTCGATGCTCGTGCTTTTAATATTGGACTTTCAACAAATTCGATTTTTCAGACTGAAAATTCAGTCAATCCGACATATGTGATAAGTTCTCCCTTAATCAGCTGTTTCATAACTAGGTGTCCGTGGATGAATCTTGTTTTTAGCTGAGTTTCTAACTAATGATGCTTTGTGTAGGACTACTCTAGTCAGTGAGACATTCTGGATCTGGAATTGGAGAAAATATGAGTTCATTGTCCGTAGTTAAAACGGTATAGTTTTTTTGACAATACTGTCAGGCATTAAGATATATCCTGATTGAAATTTTCGTCTAATAGTGGAGAAAAAAGGGCATGATAGTGAGATATTCAACTTTTTTTATTTTATATTTTTGTTAGATTCGTGGTAAATGTGGTTATAGCTGTTTTGGAAAAGCTTGTGTATAAAAGCTAGTTTTTTTGAGAATGCTGCACTCATATTTCCTTAGTGAAGAATTTTATTAAAACTCTGATTTTTGAGCTGCAGAATGAAGTTGAAGAAATCAGAAATAATTCACAACGAAGCTTTGGTTTAGAAATACTCGTCGACAATTGTTGTCCTATAGATCTAATGGTTTTTTGAAGTAAGGTGAATTTGAGATTAGATAAAATATAAATAAAAAAGGATACTGCTGGAGAGAAATTGAGCGAAACATAGCAGCGGCTAGTCGTGAGTGGCCCCCGGAGGGGCGCCGACGAACGACTAGCCACTGCACTAGAAAGCCCATTGAAGGAATGCTTCAAGCTGTTCGAATTCATCAAATAGACATAAAGAGTCTACATTTAATGGGTTTGAATAAGCAGTAGCAGTTGCTAAGAACTGAGAAATATTTTGAAATAAAATGTGAGAACGCCTTTTCTGCATGCGTGTGATATTTGAATAGTACATTTGGGGGAAAACAACATTTATAGAATTGATATTCGCTCTATCAGAATGCGACTTGAATGAAATAAACAAGGTTTTTCTTGCTGGAATGCTTTCTTGTCGATGCTCACTCAAATGTCGAAATGTATATGGATATATTCAAATTACTTATCTAGTTTTATGGCTACTATATGTAGGAGCTTCTTTCAAGTACGACAGCCTGATTATAAACCAGACCTAATATGATTAGTTTTAAGGTAGAAGTTCAAGTGAACCCGTATTTTCATAGCGAAAGCTGTAATAAACAATATTTACGACAGATGTGTCAGCAAGCGAATGGATTTTTAGTAGAAATTTTAAGGAGTAAGGCGCGTTTTCAAGAAAGTGTCGCGAATGAGTTTTGCTTCGTTATCTCTCAGAAAGCTGAATATAAGCTCCTTTTTGGAGTACATATGGATATCGTCGCCATAGTGTGGTTCCTGAGATTTTTGTTGAACGTCAATGTGAGAGCGTCAATTTGATTAGATGTATTTGTGACAAAAACGTTCGTTCGAACCCGCATACAATTGTGTACAATGAGATTGACGCTACGATCAGCGTACACTCACCTATTCATCCTTGTGGAATATTGGTTTCTAGCTGTGTTGAAGACTGTAGATCGGTATAAAACATTAAAAGAGTGGAATATACAGTCGAGGGTCAAGCCAGTCATACGGGCGAGCGTTACTTGTAATAATCTATATATATAATGTTCAGTGTCTGTCTGTGTGTGTTTCTCTACTGTGTTAAAGGACAAACGTCAAAGTTTAATGGTTAATGGTTAAATAAGACTATAAGAGAAAGGTTCTGAAAGGCTATTATATGTGACTACCCATAGGTCTTCAACAGCTATTATATGGGGATATCCATAGGCACTTAAAAGCTATTTTACGGAGAGACCTATAAGTTCTCGAGGAGGATTATGTGGGATAGCCACAGGTCCTCAAGAGCTATTATACGGTGGTACTTATAAGTCCTCAACGGATATTGTATGGTATATCTATAGGACATGAAGAGCTATAATATGGAGATAGCAATAGGTTCTCAAGGGACTGAGGCAAAAAGTTGTAAGGCAATAACGAAATATGGCTACAATATCTACAAGGGATACAAGGCTATAAGGCCGAAGGCTACATGGACTAAAAAATATGTGTCATATAAGAGTATGAGGCTGTAGGACTGTCTATCTGTATTCATAATATCGAGTGTCTGTATATCTGCTCCTGAATGGAAAGTTAAACGTGTTAGGTGATACGTTAAAGGAGAAAACAGCCGTGCAGTATGCATGGGCTCTAGTTATGAGATATTATAATTGTAAAATACGACACGTGAAAAAAATATGAATCTACAATTGTCAAGGGACACATGTTCATACGATATTCGACTTGAGGGTGAAAATGCGATATACCTTCATATCTACATCAACATTCATTCTGAAGGATATATGCATGAAGTCCATGAATAAATTTTGAAATTTCTCGCAAAAATGAAGTAAACTCGTACGCACTAGATTTCAAGAGTGTGAGGGTGTGGGTGTGAGCGTTCGTTGATGTTCTCTTCATTCATAATCCACACCCACACCCATACCCTCGTACTACCAACGTTCATAGGACCTAATTAACATGGTGCGCATCCAAACGTGTCACATATGAAAAGATCTTTCTGAAGTAAGAACATCTTCGGTGAAAAACTGCTGTCGATTAGTTAATACTTCGCTTCGTCTGTGCATTTTCTTCTAGAAATTTTGACACGTTCTTATCATGCAAGATTTCATTTATAATTTGAAAAATAGATCTCTGAGGGCATGCAATGAGACGTGTCTTATGAAAAACCCCTCCTATGTCTCAGGAGATATTTCTTTTCGCATAAGGATGCCAAGGTGCTTTTCAAAGCAGACACAAAAGATTCTAAAATCACTCTCAACGTGTATTCAATAGCTATTTTTCCGTAAATTATTTCCTCGTAGACAACCATATTCATTCAAATTAGCTAGAAACTAATAACTAAGCTGGTGGTACATTTCATCTTGAACCAATTCTATTTATACGAGCCAATTCTCGACATTAGCAACTAACTGAAATAACTTTGGCATAAGAAGGGTTAATTTTCTTTCCTTAAGTTATTTATACCTCCGAATAAAAGTATTTCTCCCCTTTGTTTCTATGCTATCATATTTTGCATCAGATTTATGATCAAATAAAGATATGACATAAGAGTTTTATTTCAATATGGCATAGATCACACTGAAATAAAACTCTTATGTCGTATCTTTACTCGCCAATAAATTTGATACAAATTATGATAGAATAAAAACAGAGAGGGAGAAAGATTTCTGTCTGAGAGTGTAGTTATATAGAACATAATTGCCAACAGTGATAGATCGTATTCTTTAGAAAAAATAGTCCTATTATAAATCACACAAAAGTTTTAAGATATGTTGTCTATATTGTTTCAAGAACACTCTTTTAATCAAGCATTGTTTTCTCTTTTTTGCATCAACATATTCGACCTGATGTGAGCCACCGGTGGCTCACGCTATATTCCAACGAGGGCAATGAGAAAAAAATTAGTTCTTTCCCTTTTCTTTCCTAAGCAAAGAGCGACGGTGAGTTCTGCACTTATGCCGCCATCGCTAATGCTTCAATCATTTTACTATGTAGAGAAACGCTTTTCATTAAAACAATCAAGACAAAAGAATTTGTCGCAATCAGAACAGAAAGTTTTTATTCTTGTTGCTGCCATAGCACTTGCTTCTCTTGAATCTTGTTTTCTGATTTTCTCGTAGCAACCAGCTCAACGTCTTCGGACATTGCGTGCAGATCCTTCTATTTCTTGTAGCTGGTGATCAGGGAGTCTACGCTTCAAATGTCATGTCAATTGCTTTCTGGGGCCAGATTTGAGACTCTCAAATGGTATACCAACCGGTAAAGGCCGCACAAGACTTTTGAAAAACTGTGGAATGCTTACTTCGCTTGTGCTATAGCTTTCCTTGTAAATCAAGTAGCTATTTACTATTGCAGCCCCAAAAATCAATTCGAGTGCCACCTTTCGGCACCACTTTATTGATTGTCTGAGGCACGTGTAATATGCTGATAGTTGATTAGATAAATCACTACCCTGTCCTCCTTCGTTGTAATCTAGTATAATTTGCGGTTTCATGATACGCTCATTTTTACTATTCGTTTTTCCAGTGTTAAGTGCATTTGTTAGAAGTTAACTATCCATGAAAATGAACATCTGGAAAAAATTCTCTAAGAAAACTGAATCGGGTCGAATGTGTTAAAATATTATTGACTTTTCCATTGTATGAGAGTGAAATAAGTAAAATAAATTCGTTTACTAACGGTGTATTGGACAAAAAGAGTGTTGAAATTAGGATTTTTCGTTGAGATCACCAAAAAATTTGACTTTTGTTTTTAAGGACATAATAGAAGATCCCCCTGGTGACTTGTGAATGATAAAACAGAATAAAAGACCCGAGGTTATCTAATGTGTCGAGGACTTTACAAATGATGATCGCTTTGATATTCCTGATGCTCTTGAGAGCCTCTGCATCTAATTCCATAAACCGGTCAGTTGTATTTTCCATGCCATTGTCATCGTGTATCAATCAAAGTTATACATTACCTCTCTTTTCAACACACTACATTCACATGGAATTAAATCGAACTCAACGCGAACACGACTTTAAATTGATACGCTATCATGCATTCGTTGTTGATCGAAAGGTGATACAATTCGAGGATGGTACAGATATATTTACAAACGTAATCGATACAAGTGATGTTGATACAATGGATGGCCGATTTAAGAATCAATCGAGGATTGTGATAAGGATGAAAGTGTATGCTAGCTACATTAATCGTACACTTATTCACTATGCTCTTGAAACTGTTCTGAAGAATGGTTATATTAATCGTATCAACTGTTCCATTGATATTCTTGTCTCACAACCAAAACGTTTACTTGATAGAATTTTTAAAGAAACTATTCCATTTTTGATTGGCTTTATTTCTGTTCAAATGGGAATTTTACTTGACATCAATGTTCTTCAAGAAATTGTTCGTAGACCTATTCCAGTTGTAATCGGTTTTACTTGTCAATATGGTCTTATGCCATTGATTGCATTTGCTATTTCGAAAATATTCCACTATTCGCCTCTCTACGGACTTGGCATATTTGTTGTCGGCTGTTGTCCTGGCGGAGCCTTTTCCAATCAATGGACAGTCATGTTCGATGGTGATCTCAATTTGTCTGCATTCATGACATTTGCCTCGATTGTCACTTCATTTTTCATGATGCCATTATGGTTGTATACACTTGGTCAATATGCTTATTTACGTGAACTCCGAATTCATATACCGTTTAAGAATCTTAGTATATCATTGATCACTGTTATTGGACCACTTCTTGTAGGTATGATAATTGTACATTTCATTCCTAAAATAAAGAACTTAATTCAACGTATTATTAAACCGATGCTTGTTATAATGATCTGTTACTTTTTTATTTTTGGTGCATGTGTCAATATTTATCTGTTTAAATATATCGATTTGCAAACAGCTTTGACAGTGCCACTATTGCCCTGGCTTGGTTTTATATTAGGTAGTGTAATGGCTTGGATCTGTCGACAAGATTGGTCCCGAATAAAAACAATTGGGATCGAAACAGGTAATACAAACTTTTTAAATTTAAGTGTTGGTGTTTTGTCTCGTATTTATTACTTCTAAGGTATTCAAAATATTGGTATCGCCTTTTTGGTCTTATTGTACTCATTTCCAGCACCTGAAAACAATCAAGCTTCTGTGATTCCATTGATTGTTGCCTATCTATCACCACAACCATTTTACATTCTCCTGATTATTAGATTTATCCGACAAAAATGCTTTAACAAACATAAGAAGACGACAGTCGTATTAAAAACAGAAGTCGACAATATGTCGGCCGATATACTAAGCAAGACAACCCATCGATTGATAGAGTCAGATGAGGTACAGAAGAGTGATGAAAACGAAGATCGAGAAGAAGCACCATGACCTGCACTATCTATAATGGACAGGTCGCCAGATATAGCCAATCGAAGTTTAGATCACGTGCACAAGTGCTAACATTAACAAACTGCTGGAGAATGAACTCTGACTACTCTGTACTAGACACTTAGGAATCTCATTTTTGGTTTTCTCTCCGGTCCCAAAATTCTAATGTTCTCCCACACACACAAGCTTCGAAAGAAAAAAGATTTCTTACTTGATTATTTTTTTTTCAATTTTCTTTGTCTGTAATAGAAAGATCATAAATCCATCACAGCATCGGACAACATTAATCGACATAGCCAACGACGTATGAGAATAGTTTGCAACGAAACTATTCGTAAACCAATACGTATTTTTTCAGCCCATCACCAGATTTTCCTTTTTACTACATGATGAAATCATCACAATTCTTCTCTACTTTCATGTTATCCATATCGAGCGAACGGATTCGTAAAGAACGCTTACTTATCGTTGACCTGCATTCACACCTGCACTAATAATCAGAATAGATCGCAAATGTCGAAAAAAACTCGGTGACTCTTGCACCAGACCGAGCGATGGCGATACAATGGTCTGCCATGCTCTCTTTCTGCTAAGTCTTGTCGACTATCACAAAGCATACAATCGTGTTCAACACGTCGGGTGTGGGTGTGGGTGTGGGTGTGGGTGGGTGTGGGTGTGGGTGTGGGTGTGGGTGTGGGTGTGGGTGTGGGTGTGGGTTTAGCGTAGGAAAAGTATAACAGCCACAGCCACAGCCGCACCCAAACCCGCACCTACATCCACACCCACCCACAGTGTGCAGTAGAAATGTCGAAAGAAAAATGTCGAAAGGGAAAAGTGTCGAACGGGAAAAACGTCGAATGGAAAAATATCCAAAGGGAAAAATGTCCAAAGAAAAAATATCGAAGGGGAAAAATGTCGAAAAATGAATTCTAACACAAAAAGATGTAAAAATGAAAAATACAAGAAACAACGATGTCTCCCATAAATGACAGCTCTAAATTCGAACAATGCATGTTTTCTTTTCTTATAATTGAACTAGTCGAAATTTTCCACCACTAATAGTAAAGACGACTAATAAGTGATAGAGATTAAATAAACAACCATATATGAAGTAAATAAATAACTGAAGTGATAATAGTATGGCAACAATACGGTATTTTCAAATGACGGAACTCAACCAAAATTGAGTATTTCATTTATTAAATCACAAAAAGGAAAAACTTTATTAGTAGCAAATGAATATACTTTCAAACTAAACAAAAGAACAACTACACATATTGGAAGTGCAGATACAATGGTTGCTCTTCTAAAATTCATACAGATGTGAATGATGAATTACTTAAAACAATTGCAATTCAACGTCGTATCGATAATCTTGGTGAACGGTATTATGATGGTGTTATAAATGCTATGGAATACTTAGATGGCTTATCATTCATCGTTGCAAAACGGAAAAAATGATTTTTTAAATTTATTTCTTCATTCATGCATTTTTTTCTCTATTAACATATGTTAGTGTTAGCATAAAAAATAAAGGACGTCTCTTCTATTTCAAGATTTTTTAACAAAAATAATCAGCTATGGGTGTGGGTGTGGGTGTGGGTGTGGGTGTGGGTGTGGGTGCGGGTGTGGGTGTGGGTGTGGTGTAGGTGTGGCTGTTTGAGTGCATAAGACTGCACCCACATCTACACTCACACCCACATCTCAAACCGACACCCACATCCACACCCAAACTCACACCCACACCCACCCACACCCACACCCACACCCACACCCACACCCACACCCACACGCACACCCACACCCTTTTAAATAATACTGTCTTAAGAAGTTTAGTAATTCTCTTTTAAATTTGGCAAATTTGATCAGACGTTCTGTTGCCAAACTATTGTGAAAATCACTCAATACAAAAAAAGTACCGCATGAATCTTATTTGAGCCATTTCTATAGGAGAATTCATGCAACAATGATGAGTTATGCGTTGCTTTTCACTATAAAAACAACGTATCACGAGTTTAGTTGATAACTTTACCCCCTGTCGCAATGATTGTGTCGCATTTCATCGAGTTCGACAAAAACGTCCAACTCTTTTGTAGAAAAGGTGAGCTGAATAATAATAAAAAAGTAAAAAGAATATACCCATCTTATCATCATTTCTTTTTTTCTTTCCAAGTTATTGTAAAACCATCAAATAACGCCAAAAGATGAGAAAAAATATTGACTTAGTGACAACTTGAGAATCTGGGCGTTTCTTCACCAACACTCAAGATGATTTTTCCTTGTATAAATATTCAATAGGAACTTTTTGGAAATCCATGACATTTTGATCACTTTGCTCTCGTTGAAATATTTTGTGGAGATCTTTGCTATGTGCTGTGGTTCGTTGTCGCATTTTACTTTTATTGGTAGAGGTACATTGCCTTTAGTAATTGAGTATTCGTATCAATGCATATTAGGCAGCATAGCGATGTTTGAGTAATTTATATGAGCAGCATATATAATTTAGATGAGATGAATACTAGTTATATTTCCATTAGTGCATATATTCCAAAATAAAGCTGATTTTGACGAACTCAAACAATGTCATATTTACTCATTTTCTTAAGGGTGGGTGTGCCTATGGCTAAAAGTATAAATCAAAAGAAGACCCACACCCACACCCACACCCACCCCAATGCGATCCATCACAAAACAATACTTATGGGAATTTCATCTATCTCGATCCGATATTTGAAGATTTTCTTTCAGCAACTGATGGTTACTCAAGAAGTGTCTCTTTCTCCACTCAATCTTTATGGCTATTCCATCTCAACACATTTCATATTTATCCTGATAATGCATCGAAAGTGGACTGGTTCTATGATGAAGGTTCATTGTTGATCGATTAAACGATGAAAGATCTCGGCGACTATTATGGACGCCTCTTCACTTAGTATATGGATGGTGGGTTCATCGATGAATATGGCCGTGATCATGTGTCCAACCATTTGTACGACTGGGATTATACAGAAATATTTAACGAAGTCGAATCAGAACACACTATGAATCCAGAGTCGTATACTCGCGCCTATGATGCCGTTATTCAAGGCATTCGACGACACACCAATAATACCCAAATGAAATACGTGGGATTATCTCTAGGAGGTAATCACTCGATACATATGCGAATTAAGCAGTTTTCAATATGAATTTTAGGGCACGATGAATTCGAATAGGTATTGTTATTTTCTTAATCATTCAAATCGTGCACCGAATATTCCACTTGATATGATTGCATATCATTTCTATGCCTGGTCTGAATCACGTACATGCCCATTAGCTTATGAAGCACTTTTCGAACAACTTGAAACGGTCACTTTTGAAGTCGAACAAATCGAAGAGATTCGCAAAAGACTTTCTCCAGAGACGCGAACAACCATCGATGAATTGGGTGTTATTCTCCCTGATGATAATACGCCAGGTGTGCTTCAGTTTCCTCTAATCTTTTGGAATGCACCTGGTGCATTGTATGCTTATTCATGGGTAAAATTGTCACAACAAAGTATCGATGTTGTCGGGCAAAGTCAACTAGTTGGTGTGTAGATGTTACGGGCAGACATTAATGATTGTTCTACTGAGATTTTTCTTTTTAGGTCGCCCTGAACTATCCGATCTTCAACTTCAACCACAATATCCAAGCGTATCTATGGTAAATGGGACAACCGGCGCTGGAACACCGAAATACTGGACATCAAAATTGTTGATCGATACGGCTGAAATTGACAGTGATCAAGCAATGAGAACACTAACATCAGATGTAAACAGAAAATATGTGTTTAGTCAAGCATTCATCCGCAAAAATGGTCGACGATGGATGCTGATAGTCAACAAACGCTTTGCGAATGTCGATGTATTTCTACCTGGTGCTACTGGTGGTAAACTACAAGTAGTGAATGAAGCATCAGGCTTCGGTCCAGCAATCATCACTGAATTATCCTTGAGTCGAATCACGCTAACATGCTTCGCCGTCGCTGTTGTTCATGTGCCTCTCATGGACGTCAATATTTAACTGTGATTTCTTCTTATGTTATCTAAATCCTTCCACTTGAGAAAAATCATTTAGTAATAAAAACTGAAATCTACTCAGCGAAGAAATAAGAATAGCAAAAACATTTTGTCGATACTTTTTGTTTCATGTTTGCTAAATACTCTTTATTCTAAGTCTATAGACTAAGAATATCATTTAATAAATAGAGTCGTCGGTCGACAAAAGTTGAATTTTAAGAATACTAGGTCATAAAATAAGCAAAGGAACGAATTGTAAAGACGATTGAGTAGATCCAATGGCATTTTGGTATCTCGAGAAGGATGTGGGTGTGGAATCAGTCTTCATTTACATCCACGCAATATCAATACTACACGCATAGCTAAACCAATTCCCGCATCCACACCCACACCCTCAAATCGAGCGCTAATTCGAATTTGAGTAACAAAATATAGTAAATCTCGCCGTCTATTCATTGTAGTTAATATATGCTAAGGTGAGAACATAGTCGATATGTTTACTGTTCACAACAACGTTTTTTTCTATAGGAAAGAAAACGAGTATAGTAATAGTGCTAATAATAGAAGAATGCTGAATTAGTCGAAGCTATATTATTGGAGATAAAACTAATTACGATAATATGTATTAAATTCTAAAAGAGCCAATTTTTACAATGAAAATTTTGAATAAACCTTAACTATCTAGAAAAGTAATGTATGAAATTGTTTTCCATACAAAATTATATTTTAATTAGATTATCATCCATTGAGTCTGTCAAGAATAAACTTGTATTTAATAATCAAGACAGTTTAAATATCGTTAATCAGTATTTTCTGGAGACTCGGATTCGGATGGCATAATTTTGCAATTTTTTTTTATATACATTGCCCATAAGTGGATCCAATGGCATGACATCAATATAATCAATACCAAAACGATAACCCATGCCTTAGAAAAATAAAAGAAAATGTTATCTATATGACTATGAATATTCTCTCACTTTCCAGGACTCATAGACATCAGTCGTCAGTTTAATAAGTCCATATTGGATACAAGTAATCATTCCTGTTGCTGTCCACATAATCCCAGTCAAAGTACTGATATACTGACATGGAAAACTAAACACACATGAAACTTTTAATTTTATCATTCCAATAGGTATGAACAGTATATGATCTAATTTCGTAATATTTAATATAAATTGAATACGAGACTTACAAGATGCTCACAACTGCTTGTGTACCGGCTATAATTGATGAACGACTCAAGTTGTAGAATATTAATGCAGGAATAATAGTACTAGTTTTTACAAACATACAAATGATGCATGTGATGATATTCAATATCCATGTACATGATTGAAAGATTGCAATAGTTAAGAGGTTTTGTTTTTCACCTAAATATTAGTTTCCATACTAGAAGTAGGCATCGAGACAAAAATATGTTTCTACTGAGTTATGTTAAAAGATTTGCCTTTAATTGCTTATATTTTAGTGACAGACTATTATTTGATGGTTCGTCTTGTACAGAAATGTTTGATTCTTCAACCTATCTCTTTTAAATCATATTACAGACTCTTGTTATCACTGAATTTAGCAACTATAATGATTGTAATCACATTTGTGAAATCAACTAATCTTCAATCATTATATGCCTTAAATTAATAAATAACGAAGAGATGTTGTTAGAAATACGCGGTAACAGGTTTCTTTTCTTTGCATCGATCTTAATGATGTTAGTTTTCTCGATCGCGATCTAAAAACAATCTATTACACAATTTATTCGTATCACATCTAAAATAGTTCTTTAATATTAGTTTCTCTGATCTATGTAGTTGTCAACTACTACTTTTTTCGATATTTTCTCTTGAATTATGTTACAATTCATATGACTTATAAGATAATTTTCTTTAAGTCATACCGTGTTTGCTATAATCTTGAGTTCTAATTCTGGTATTTAGTTTATCGTTGTTGTGATTTCGATCTCGATTACAGTGGCTAAAACCAATACTAGAATCGACACTCATCTAACACATATATGATCATAATGTGTTTTTATTTTAGTATTTCGATTGTTCTTCTATCAAAACATATAAGCTGAAAGAGCAAACATATCTAAGTGATGCGAAGTCAAATAATATTTTGCCATTGAAGTTACTAAAATTGCATACAAATTATTTATGAAATCTAAAAGAATGTTTAGGATATTAATATTTATCTCTATTCATAACGTACAATGATAATGAAAAACAAACTTAACAAATATCTACAGATTCATATTTTTTATTTTTTTCTTCGAGAAAATTAATATTCTTATACTTTCTTATTTCAATCTTCGAAAAGTTTTTTGGTATCATCTCGAAATGCCAAATAATACGAATAAGAATGTATTCTATTGTGTGGATAAGTCTTTTTAATGAGCATATATAATTAACGGGTGTCCCAGAATAAATTATACCATTCGTATTTTGAGTATAACTCTTCTATTATCCATTAGATCGGGACATCTTTTTATACTAAAAGATAGCGCTTGAAATTCTCTACAAAATTATNATCTTCTAAATATTCACATATACCCAATAATAATATTCGTAATTTATCCTAAATATACAATCATTTATTTTTTTTTTGTGTTAAGCCCCCCCTCCTCAAAAAATCAATTTTGGTCAAATTTATCGATTTTGTGATTTATAACTCATTAGATAGAGCAAAGTGTCTACTCTCGAATGCACTATAGTTGATTGATTTTATGATGAGCTTTAAGAATATTACATCAGTTTTTCTGAACCTCCATATTAAAAAAAATAAGGCTTTTAAAAACTTATTTTCCGTTTTTTCGAGTATACTGTTTGCACAGGCAAACCTTACTTAATAACGGCTCGATATAGAAGTGATAATTTTTTTTTTATTGCATAGAAGACAGTTAAGGCTAGATCCTCACAGAGCCCGATTTTGGAATTTTTCTATTGGCGAAATAAAAAAAACTCACATGCCTCATTTTTATCAGCGTTTTTTAGCTTATGAGTTCGAGGATTTTTCGGAGAATATATTTTACAAAACAAACAAAGGGAATTTCAAAAAATCGGGCTATGTGAAGATCTAGCGCCGAGGGTACTCTACAATTTAAAAACAGCCCCGCCATGTTAGCTCTTGTACTGATTGTGAAAACCTTGCCCGCGTACAGGGTATTTTTGACCAATAAATTGACTATAACTCGCAGATTTAAGGAGATATTTTAACCACAATCTACTCTAGCCAAGGCTAACATTCTCTGAAATTTTCGTTGAATTCCATGGAAAAATAAAAAAGTTCGTTTCTGAGGGCGGGGGGGGGGGGGGCTTAATATAAGAAAAAAAAAATTATATTTACAATTGTCAAAACTTCTGTTTCATTTTTTTCATCGATTAAATCCATCCATTTACCAAGAAGCTAGAACCAAAAAAAAAGAAAAAATTCAACTCAAATTGTTTTGTTTTTCCTATATCTTACATCTTCTCTACTATCATTATCCCGTAAAATATGCATTAATTCTGATCGACGACAATTATCAATTGATACTTGTGGTTCAAGAAGACGAGCTGGTCTAGAATTAGAAACAAAATTCTTTTTTTTTTCTTGTATCAGATTAAATAAAACTATTATTTCATACTCAGGTACACCGGGTTCTTCACTAGTACTTCGATGTAATATTTCAGGAGGATTTGATACATGTATTCCACCACTTAATTCAATAAAAAAAAAAAAAAATTGCATAACATAAACATTTTATTGAAAATTTTTACTTGTCATGTGACTTTTCTCCCTGATTATCTAGAAAAATAGTTTAAATAAATAGTTATATTTATATGAAATAATCAAACTTACTTCCGTTTTGATCTCGTGGTGATGCAGGTTTCGTTCTAAATATAGTTTATCGATTTTTTTTATACATATGTTGATTGAACAAGTTCTTTTGAAAATTTGTCTTTTTAGAAGAAAAAAACTAAACATACTTAAAAAATAGATGATTTAATAGATCTTTAGCTGTTGGACGTTTTTGAGTAGGTTCAAAACATCTAGAAAAACAAAAAGATAAATTCTAATTACGAAACATCATAAATCTATTTACTTTGCTAGAAAATCTTTTGCTGTTTCTGATAATTCTTGTGGAATATCTGGTGATAGTCGTTCATTGCCAAGTTTTAATATTAATGCACCTGTATTAACAACTGATGAAATGAAGAGAAAAACAAAATAAAATAGAAGAAAAACAAAATCTATTTATTATTCACTTTTATGATATGGCATTTTACCCGTTACCATTTCAATAATTGTACATCCAACACTCCAAATATCAACCTGAAAATGAATAATTCAATAGAGTTAAATATTTTATTGAATATCTTACTTCCGGTCCATAACCCATTGGAGGTACAAGTACAACATCAGGACTCATATATTGAAGAGTACCTAAGAGTAAAAGTCATTCTTTATAATATATTAAATAAAAATCTCTTACCAACACTATCTTCTGTACAAAGTTGAAGACCAGCAAGACGTTTTGATGTACCAAAATCAGCAATTTTTATTTCTCTTTAAAATCAAATAAATATTTTGTTGACTTGTTGAAAGAAAAATATTTTTTTACCCTCGTGAATTAACAAGAATATTAGCTGATTTAATATCTCGATGTAAAATATGATTTTCATGTAAATATTGTAAACCTTCTAAAAGTTGTCGAGTATAATTTTTAATAACTTGTTCTTGAAATGGTCCAAATTTTGAAAGATGTTGTGAAAGACTACCACTAGAATATCGAGAAAAAAAAACAAACAAATAAATGAATATTTCAAAAAATATTTTTCTTGTCAATTAACCCATCAACATATTCCATAATAATTTGAAAGACAGGTTGTTTCTTTGAGCGATCAATTGCTGAACCATAATAAGTTACAACTTGTTAAAAGAAAAAAAAAATTTTTTTTTCTATTATATATAATAAAATAAACAAAACAAACTGTTTCTATGACTAAGTGTTGATAGAATTTTGATTTCATTTTCTAATACATCTGTATATACGGGATTTCGCATAGGAATTTCTTTGACAGCAAATTTCTTCATTGTATAACGATCATGTGCAACATATACTTTTCCATATGTACCTTGACCAAGTGCAGTACGTTGTTCATGTGGATCACGATCGAAGACAAGCTAAGAAAAAAAAAAAAATTTTTTTTTTCAAATATTAGTCATATGTTATTTTCTTCTTATAGTTGTTATTCTTGTATAACAGAGAAAATCTCTTTACAAAAAAACAAAAATTGGAATATATTTGCGCCATTATGTAAAGTTATTCAAGAGAAAATCGTTAACTAAAGAAAATTAATAGTTTGTGTGAGAAAGAAAAGCTGCTTTATGATGAAGTCATGCATAAAGAGAACGTCAAAATAAAAATCTTGTTTCAAGTCTTTGATCATATATCAACAACAACTGTTGCAGCCTGTCAAATTCTCATGGTAAGGTTTATCATAGTCTGTGAAGTGGATGATGAGTGTAAATTTCCACCGTATGTATTTCATGTCTGATCCTGTCCGAAAAAGTTTGATTTTTTTGTTAACTCTAATTCTCTTAGACGTCCTCTATGCATTGTTTCTATCTAATACTTCTTTTATTTGATTAAGTATGTAACAAAAAAAAAAAAAACTTGATTCAGTACTTGTCTTTTAAAGACATATAATATTCTAGATTTAATGCTATAGTTTGAAATCGTTTTACTTGAAAGTTACAAATATTAGCTGCGCGTCTCTGTTGCAAGTTTTCAGTCTGTTACATAATATCATTTCTCTCTGGTACAACGATTGATTCCAATACTTACAAATAATAATGTGAAGTTAGAAAGAAAACTTCTTCTCAAAGTTTTCAAATCTATTCATTGTACTATCACTATGTTGTGGATTCTCAAAGGACAATGGATGTATTTTTAGCATGCCAATAATTATAGTAAAATGATCACAATTCTCGAATAGATTGATGAAATTTATATGATAGACAGTCTGGATAAAGTGCTATATAATAATGGACCTACTAACCCACAACTTCTATATTTTGCAGACTTATAAAGCTGAAAATACAAAACCTATAGTATCTATCACCACACTTTTACTGTAATGATTGACATTCGAAAGCTTTTACTAAAATCTTTACTAAATCAACATCTAATCTAAAATGTGTAATTGTGCATAAGTGCAGTTAGCCGTGTAATCGACGTTTATATCGGTATCGTCTAGACTACTGTAACCCACGTGCGTTTCTATGTACATGATGAAGTAGGTGTTAGTCTTTATTTGAACTCAAATAAAAATTTAACTATTGATGAAACTTTGACTTATTTTCGAAATCGAATTAAAGTGAATGTTTTTGACCAAAAAAAAAGGAAAACACGTCTTCCTAGTTTCAAAATCTTCAAATTAGACATGATATTCTTGATTAATATGATAGACAAAAACTTCAGATTTAAAGTTTGAAAAAGATAATTTTTAACTTGAAAAGAAATAATAATTTTCATAATTCATAAAATCTGTCGAGAAAAATAATCAATCAGTCAAAACGATGTTTTTTTATTCTGATGAAAAAAGGAAATAACTTCAATCTTTTCTTGTTTTGTATAATTTCCGATGTATTGTTTCTCTAATTTGTTTTTCGGAAATTAGAAATTACTAATGAAATTTATTCAGAATATATATATATATATATGATCATCTGCTATGAATTAATCTTGATCACTTACATCAAATTTGGGTTCAACTTCAGAAATATTTGTTTGTAATCGATATTTTGACATTTTTTCATTGAATCTATATTTTAAAAAAAATATTATTCATTCAATAGTTTTAAAAAGTCTTGCTTTAAGATAAATAGTACTTAAACTTTGTTCGTATAGTTTAACCACAAACAGAGAATGTTGAACTCTGATCGTAAGGACTTAACCGACGGTCTTCATGTAGAGAAACTAGAAAGTTAATTTAGATTATCTCTTTAGACAAAATAAAAAAAATTCTATATTCAGAGATTTTAGTTTGCTTGATTTATGAAATATTCTTTGAGTAATCCTCTACATGAAAGTTAATGGGAATCATCGAAACAATGATCGATTTCTTTGGATAATTTTAACCATTTGTCTGGAAAGTACGCCATAGTCTGTTTTAAATTTCACGATGGTACTTCATTGATGAAGGCTTTTCTACGCCTCGACAGTACAACTGATCGAACTACCCTCTTTATGATAACGAGTGAGTCAGATTAAATGGCCCTCTCAGTATTTTGACTATAACTTTTTTTCTTTAGAGCTAATTGTTTTTTCAAAAGATGCGCCGTGAAATTCTCTGTAAAATCATAATCAAACTTATTTGTGTAGAAAGTTAAAGACAAAAATTAAACAAGGATTATCCAACACATTAAAAGTACCCAACTTTCAAAGCTGACGGATGTCTCATAAGTGTCCGATGTTTGTGTCTCTTTTTTCTATCGCGAAGCACATTATTTTAAAAGTAAAGT